ATGGAGCTCTTGTTCGCTTGTAAAAAGATCTCCTGTCTGCAGATCGTCTGCGTAAAGGTTCGTACACCTGCGCAACCATGCCGGGTCGATCTGGGCAGAGAGGTCTCGCAACATAAGGGTCATGACCGAGTTCCATAACCAGGGTGCCGCACGGCACCCCTGGCGTACTCCTCGTGATACAGGAACGGCTGTTGTCTGGGAGCTTGTTTGCACAATGTAGCATGTCTCTTGATGCCAGCAAGAGAGTATCTTGACGATCTCAGGTCGAACACCTAGTGTATGGAGCCTCTCAAAAAGACAGTTCCTGTCCACCGAGTCGAACGCCCTACGCATGTCGATCAGCAACTGTACAGCGCCACAGAGACGGGTTCTAGGCATTTGTCTGGCTCTTTTATGGGGAGTAGATCTTTGATTTTGTACCATGAGTCTGGCAGTGCGACAATGTTGAATAACTCGTAGTAGGGAATCTTGGGTCGATCTATGGGGTAAATAGGCCCAAAGTGGCCAGCATATCATGGATTCCAATGAGTCAGATTGTCCCAACTGGCTGATCATTCCTATCATGGCCTTTCCTACAGGATCCTGCAGTGCAATGGGGCGCAAAGCAGCCGGATCTGTGGGGGGCTTCCCCGGTTTGGGTAGCCAGCACAGCCAAGCATGTCTCCAGGTGGAGGGAACAAAAGGTTTGTCTGAAAGCCACCAGCTTTTCAAAAGACCATACAACCATGGTGCCAAGTACTGTGCATGTGATCGCCATAGAACCCCCGGTGCAAAACCTGGTGCAACAGCTTTGGTGAGAGGAATGGATTCCAGTGCTTTCTGTACATCGGATTCAGTGAAAGGTGTACCTGGGATGATGTCAGGGTGAGCATCCCGTAATGGTTCACCATGCCAAACGTCTTGGACAAACTTGCATAAAATGGCGTGCTCTTCCACTGCAGTGGCCAGTTTACCATGCACTGTTCGGAGTTGCATCCTTCTTTTGGGAGATTTGGGAGCAAAACTATTAATTAAGTGAAACAACTGAAAACTGTTGTGTCGGTCTGCCGCTTTCTGTGCATGGTGAATGATGTCGTGAAAATGATGCTTGCGCACCAGCTGTGCATGTCGTCTGTGACTTCTGGCCATCGCCCTGAACCTAGCCGTGTGAAACCAGAAAAGGAATATATTTTTGGCTTGCAAATTTCCAGCCTGCATTGTTTCCACTAAGACATGTTGTGAGGATCTGTGTGTCCATTTGTTCTTGATCCATGTGGAAGAGTGTTGCCATGCTGCTGTGTGAGAGGCATGTGGTTTTGGGAACGTGTAATGAAAATCTACAAGCAAGGTCTGATTCAAAATCGGAAATGTGTCTTCTGCATAAGGATCCAACGTTGGAACTGTCTGGGAAAGATGAACATGCGAGGTCTGCACAAACCTCTGCCATAGGTCTGAGTCCTCCAGGAAGGCATCACGGCCCATGCTGCGTTGTTGCAAATTGCATCCGACTGCGTGAGAATTCATGGGGGCAGGGATCCAGTATTTGGTGATTTGAAACAGGATGGGGCAGTGGTCACGCAAGGCAGCTACAAATGGAGCATGCCAAAGATATTTCACATCACGAGCAATGCCATCTGCCATGTGATGTCGAACCATGCAAAAATCGATCCTGCTACCTATCTGATCATTGATATAAGTAGGTCCAAGTTTCGGAGTCCACGTATTCAATACATTCAAGTTTAGGGTTCGGATCAAATGCAGAAAATGGTCAGAATCACTGTGATATGTTCCTGCACTGAAACCTTCACCCCACTGAAACTCAGTGTGTCCTACATGTGAGCTTGCAGCAGGAAGTGAGCAGTTGAAGTCCCCTGCAATTGCCATGACATGTCTCGTAGGCAAGTCCCAACCAGCTGTAAGAAATGCTCCCACCAGCGTTTGCGATCTTTCAGTCGATTCGGTTGGTTATTGTAGCAATATTGATAACAAGCCACAAAGTCCATCGATCTTGGCTGTAGGCGCAATTGGAGGTGTAGCAATCGCCCCGGTATGCTCTCTTTCCATCTGACGCTGCAGGAGGGACAGAGCCACTTGGCAATCATCAGAAGAATCCCACAGCTGCGATCACCAGGAACACCTGAGTGAATGTAAAGAAAACTGGAGTCCTCCCACTCGCTGCTCCATGGCCAGCGCGTCTCAAGCAGGGTGATGATCCCAATGTGCTGTTCAGATGCCCAGGTCCGAATTTCGTCCAGTCGAGCCTGGGAAAGTCCTCCCACGTTCCAAGAGAGGATTTGAAGTCTTCTTTTGGAGCATTGTCGTTGATTGTATTGGTGTAGATCTTTACGACCCGATGACTTTAACGCTGCCTGAGATTTGTCAGGGAGCTGGGTCTGTCGAAGATGAACAGGAAAGTCATCAGGAGTATATGCACGTCCCTGATACCAGCTAACGCCATCACGGCAGGCACGAGTGTATGCCCTCTTCATGCTGCGCTTTTCCACAAAATTGTCAGTGGGTGTCCAGCTTAGAGGTGCTAAGCTAGTTACTGGTCGCGTCCCATGTTGCTTTGTGCCACTGTCGATGAAGTCATGAGCCCATTGTTGGAGCGGCACTCCAGCGGACGCCATGGGTCGTCCACAACCCTCACCCCTGGCACTGGCAATCAAGACAACACTGAGTAGTCTCCACCAAGCTGGTGAATTGAATCGTCGCCAGCGCCACCCGGACTTGGGACCGGGTTTGCCACCAAAAAACTTGGATCGAGAACCCCAAAAATCAAAAAGGAGAATGCCGTTCCAGGAATCTATACCGCAGAAATCAGAGAGAGTCAGGCGAATGAAGTTCCAGAGTTGTGGTCCCCTCTCTGTAAAATTGCTGATCAGTTTTGCAATGTCCACCACTGTGTGTTGAAAATAAAATGACGCGCCCCCACGGCAGAAAGGCAAACTGAGACCGTGTACCAGAGCAGCAACAAGCCCAATCCAAACAGCTGTGCAAGTGAAATACCAGAAAAGCCACATGTAAATCACAAAATGCCAGCCGCTCAAAACTGTCGAACAAGTCAAAGACAGTTGAAAGGAGAAGTTGTTGCAGTGGAATCCAAAGAAAGCAAGCGCAGTAGCTATGGCAATCGCAAAACACCAAACAATTGAAAGAAAATCCCCCGGAAGGCAAAAATGGCTCCTTCTGTCAATGTCGACAGGGCTCGAGAGCCGCTCTCGCGGCGGCAAAGGGGCTTGTGTGTGTGTGTGTGTTTTTTGTTTTTTTTTCACGCTCCTTTTCTGATGTCAGATCCGGCGCACGCCGTCAGCTCTGGTACATTGCCAGGCCGGTTCTCAACGAAGTGAGAAACTATTGGAGTCCCCTACAGGCTGCTGCGTCATGAACACCACTGGGAAAAATGTCATGACCCGGCAAGTGCTAAGAGTGGCAGCCTGTCATGCTTCTGCAGGCATGGCTGTGTGCAGGCTGGCGATAAAGACGCACCAGTGCACAGTGCTGGACGCCGCTTTGGGCAGTGAGAAAAACTGGACGATTTTTTTTTTTTAATACTGGTTTTTTTTTTTAATACTGGTCTTCTTGAAACGTTGGGCCATTGCCTCTTGGACCAGTTTTTTTTTGGAGAACTGGGGGTACACACTGGGTTTCAGTGGGCGTGTAAAGGGAAGGGGATCGACCAGCGGGGAGCTGGGTGCATTGGGGTCGACGGCTGATGCATGGCCCATCAGCGCGTTTGGCTGTAACAGCCTTTGTGTAAAGGTTTTTTTTTTTTGTCCAGGTGTCATACTGCATAGGCGGTGAGGTCCAGTCTCATTCCAAGGCAAGCTGTGATCAGAATATCTACTTTGATGGCGCCGGCTAGGCTGGGTGTTGTTGGCAAAATGCCATGTCGGAAGCTGCCAAAATGGCTCTCTTTCGGAATCACCTGCTAGGTATCTGTTTGGCATCGCTGGGCTCGACCCACGCAGGGAGTAGGCCAACGTTGGATGCCTATTGTGAAACAAATCGTGGTGAAACAGGTCTAAGCCGCCTAATTTTTTTTTTTTAATACTGGTCTTCGTGAAACGCTGGGCTTTGCCTCTTGGACCAGTTTCCTTCGCATTTTTTTTTTTAAACTGGGGATACCTACGATACACTCCAGGGCACTGGAGGGCTTATGGGTGGTGGAAACATAGGCGGATGCATTCATGACTGTTGCAAAAGCGTCAACAACTGGTCAGGGTTTAGTGTATGACCTGGAGGGGTGTGCAGCAGGTCTTCCTCCCAGGCATGCAGGTCAATGGCATCTTGTCGACATAGCCAAATGCATGTCACTCCTTCTTGGAACTGATTTGGAAGCATGGTGCACGGCCGGGGATCATCGTCGCAGTGCAGCCAGAAAGTGTCAGCATTGTGGTGGCTGACACTGGGCTGTGTGCGCAGCAGAGCCTGGTAATGGCCCGTGGCAGCATCCCCTTGGTGGGCGAAGGCAGCAGTCATTTGGTATGGTTCCCATGTGCACTCCAGGCCTTCAGCAACAAAAATGGGCACGTCCACTGTCCATCCAAAGAACACCGGTAGATCCGTTTTGCGCAACCGGCCATGTCCTTCATAAATGAATCTGTCCACGTGGACGCATACGACCTCTGGTGCGTGCATGAGGCCAGCACACATGCCCAAGCCATTGTGCCACCGCCTCAGCATGTCGGTCAAGCGTGCAATGCCATCTGTGTTGTGGGATGGGTCCAATTGCAGTGTGAGAGGTTGGAACCGATCACTGTGATCATGAACACGCACGCAATCATTTTCCATCAATCTGCGTTGCCAGTGGCAGCTAAGGAAAGATGGCGCAACCCATTGCAACAGCATGCTTGTGAACTCCGCTGAATCAGCTTGGCCTCTGTTGTCATCCCAATTCATGGTAATACCTTGAAACTAGGGTTGAACATCCAAATTCAATGGCTGAGGCCTGGGTGTCAGCAGGAGCGCACGAAACAAAGCATGTTGGCGTCCCCAATCTGTAATGGTGAAATGGCGTCTGCTCAGGGCCGACCACAAAAAGCAGGTGAAGGCGCTGTTGGCATAGCACATATGGCCCGTATTGCCAAGTGTCAGCTTTGCAACCTCCTGTCGGAGGGTCACGCGCAACTGGTGATTTATTTGGCCTTGGTCTTCGTCTTCCCCTTGCCGCGTCCTTTGGGGGCCGTCCCCTGGGTGTTGGTCAGCTGTTCCAGCAGCTGCGCTGGTTTGCTGACTTGTTGGTTGTGCTGCTTCAAGCTCAGGCCCATGAGTCCCCAAAGGGTGGACTGACTCAGCTGATGAAAAAGTCTCCAAAGATCGTCTTCGCGCATGTTGAGCTGTAGCATCCACGGCACCACATTGGCTTGCGGCCTCAGTGAGTGGAAGCGCATCACATGGTCGTTGTCGGTCAGGAGATCCACCATGAACTGCAGGTCCTTCAGGATGCGGCTCATCGGGAGTGGCGCTCGATGGGACTTGGTGAGTTTCTTCTCCGTGTGGCACCATTGTTGGAACGGCCATGATCCGTCCTGGAGGATCACCCCCTTGGTTACTGCCACGTCCCACAGCTGGGTCCCCTGGGAGCTCTGGGACAGCTTGATGGCCCTCTGTTGTATCTCCAGGATCAGGTGCTTCAGCAGGTAGGTGCGGAGTGTGGTGGTCTTCTCCGTCATGTCCTTCCATTCCTTGGCTTTCAACGTCAGCAACGGGAGCGCTCCCTCCGCGCTGACTTGGGCAAAGATAACGAAGGAGTCCTGTTTGCGATCCATCTGGATTGCCCGATCGTGTTGGAGGACCACCTTGGCCAGATGGTGGATCAGCGTGAGCAGGGCCTTGTTCTGTTGGTTGGGTGGCACTGCGGCCTTGTCGACGCCGACGGGCTCCTGTTTGAGCTTCTTGTTCAGCGGCTCTTCGTCTTTTTCCCGCATGTACTGGCTCGCCTGCATCAGGAGTGGCCCCAGGTGTTGAAAGGACTGCAGAAGTTCCGTGTCCGATTGATCGAGCATCAATTGATCGTCCATGGAGTGGTTGCAGCACTAGGGCAATTTGCTGAAGGACAGGGCAGTTTGAGGCAAAATGTATCTGCAGTTGTTCAGCTCGTTCAGCCACAGCATCAGGATCAACCATGCTGTCATTGAAAAACAGCTTGCAGAATTTGCACTGATAGTCCTGTTGTTGTTCCATCTGCATACATTGAACCAGCTGGAATTTGAGCTGGGCCGCCCACGTACAAGCATCATGATGATGAGTCAGCTGATGTGTCGTCAGGGCTGCAGTAGGGAACCAAGCTCCACACAGGGTGCACCAATGCCTGAACATTTGGAGGAGGGCCGGGGCATGCCACAGGTGACTGAAATCTCTGTCCAATACCACATTAAGCAGCATCTGAAATCGCGCATGGTTGGCCAATGCACGATGAGTAAGTCTCAGGGTTTGCTCATTGTATTGCTGTGGTATGAACATCTCTGTTTCACTGGTGTAGAAAATCATGGCCATCTGTCGAACTCCTGGGCAGATGTGGGACCTGCTATCGTCGTTGATCGATGGGTTGCACATGCAACCAGTGCTGCTGATCAGGGTTTGGAGCAGGTACCTGACCATGTCATTGGCTCTTTGCCAGAGCTGCCCATGCGCCTGTTGGAGATGCGCGCTAAGATCATTGGATCGCACATAGACTTCACCGCAGAGCTGGCAATGCAGCGTCAGCTGTAACCGCTGGTGAGCTGAGAGATGTTGTTTGTCCAAAAACCCGAGTGTCAGCTGAGTGCGCCACTTGTCTGCCGCATTGAGAGGGTGGTTTGTGGCTGCTGGATCGAAGAATTCACATTTGCCAGTAATAATGTGAGTCCTCAATCCCTCACGTGAGGTGAATGGTTTGCCACAGTGAGAGCATGCTGTGGAGCCCGGTACTGAGTCTCTGGCAAAGTTCCAGTCGAAAACTGTCACATCATGTTCAGCCTTCAAGTGTCGATGCAAACTCTGAAGGTCATCGCATCTGGTTTGGCACAACTCACATCTAAGGACACGGTCTGCATCCACATCGGAAGTCTGGCAATGCAGTAGCAGTGCAGCTATCTGGGTGAACACTGTGCAGGTGTGTCCATGCATGAACTCCCGTTGGCAGAGAACACACGGGCTGGGTGATCTCAAGACCTTGGTCAATTGAGCGCTTTTTGCAAAAATACCAGTCACTACATCAGAGTGGTGGAGCCGATAATGGCCATGAAGTTCCTGGCAGCGATTGTTCCATATGCCGCAGATCATACAGTGGTGAGTCAGATACTGGCCAATGTCAGGATGTTCCTGTAACCGGTGCCATGACTGCTCTTGGATGATCTGTTTCAGGACCGGCCAAAATGGCTGTGCTGTGACCTGGAAACTGTTTCTTTCGGCCCTATTGCTACTGAGCACGGGTGCGGCTGGTGCAGCTGTGCTAGGCGGCTCATTGGCCTGGCAACAAGAGCGTTCCACATGGATAAGAAAGCTTCTCCAGGTGGTGAAGTGTTTGTGACATCGTTTGCACTGAGCTCTGCCATGTAAGGACATGTCCAATATGGTGTTGGGTGTAGTGCGATATTGTGCCATGTTATGTGCAACAGTATGGTGCCGTCTGAGATTGGGAATGGTGTTGGTGATGAAACTGCAATGTGAGCATACGTACTGCACCTGTGGCGTCCTCATCAAGGCGTCTCCATCGATGGGGACTTCCGGCATGCTGCCATGGACCTGATCAATCAAACGCATGGTGTCTTGATGGTGCTGCCAATCCACCTGCTGTAGAAAATCTGTCGTGTCCAGCTGCACAGCACGCCTCTGAAGTCTCAGCCATAGCTTCTCGGCGCCATGCTTCAAGAGCTGCAGGGGAAGTGGAAGAGATTGATTCTGTATGGCCCTCTGGTGTGTGTTCCCTGTCATGTAGGAGTGGTCACCAATCAGAAGTCGAATCATTTGGAATATTGTAAGCTGATAATCTGTGAGTGACTGCACTGTGACTCCTGTTCCGAAGATGCCATATGTAAGGATTGTATGAACACAAGTGTGCCAGAGATATACTCGATGAGATTGTCGGATCTGTCTGTGACGGAGCCAGCGTTTCAGTCGAGCATATGCAATCCAGGCTGTCTTCTTGCGATGAAGCCACGTCTGTTGTTCGAATGCATGATAAGAAACAATCACACCCAGATATCGACCCATGGTTTTCAGCGGTAGCGCCGTAGCTTCTCCAGTGCAGCGCGGCAGCAACAGGTGTGCTTGATGCTGTAGATAGCACAGCCGGCCTTTGAGCGCATGCCGCACGTTGCTGCCAGTGTGGGAAAAAATCAAATAGGACTTTTGCAAGGAGATCTGCAGTTGGAGTCTTTCTATGCAATCAAGCAAATGGCCCATGCATCGCAAATGATGATCCAGTGCACCAACGGTCAAAAACTGGCAGCCTACATGCAAATCGTCCGCGTACAATGTCAGGCATTGTCGGATCCATTCGTCACCGGTCAAGGGCGTGAGGAGCCAAAGCAGTTTGTTCATGTAGGTCAGCCACAATAGTGGGGCAATTTTACATCCTTGACGTAGGCCTACACCTACAGGGACAGAATCCGTATGTTGTTGAAATGGTAAGTTGTAATGAGTACTTTCGTGCCAGCATGTTATGAGGGTGAGGAGATCATGGGGCGTGTTCAGTTCATGGAGATGTTCAATGAGAATGGATCTGTCAACACAATCGAATGCACGGGTCAGGTCAAGCAGTAACTGCACTCCCCCCAGCAACGTCGACATGGGAGGAGAACGCATTTGGTGATGAACCGACCTGCGGTGATTGCCTACCAGTGCTCGGATCTGCCTACAATGACTGCTCACCCTGGCAATGGCATCGGCTGCTGATCTCATGTGTAAGAATCCAAAATGGGGTGACTGACATAATGTGTGGGAGAGATGGCATTTCAGTTGATATGTCAGAAGTCCCATCACCAGTTTCCCCAATGGTTCCATGAGAGAAATAGGCCTGAGTTGATCGGGACTACCACATGACTTACCCGGTTTCGGGATGAAATAAATCCATGAGTCCTTCCAGCTTCGGGGGATGAAGGGGGGGTATTGGCCCCACCATTTTGTCAGGGTTCGGTACAAGAAATCAGCAACCTGCAGGCTAGAGCCTTTCCACACAGTGGCTGGCAGGAAAGGCATTGCCGCTGCTTTATGCGGGTGCAGGTTCTGCAAAGCCGTGCAGAGGTCTGAGATTGAAAAAGGCACTCCCGGGGCTGTATCACTGAAATGTGGCAGGCTGGAAGGTCCCTGCCACGTGGTTCGCACATAGGCAACGGTCAGTGAATGCGCCGTGTACTGGTCTGCTATTTTCCCATCAGGTGTCCTCAAACGTGGCTTGGCACATGATTTTTTGGGGGTAAACTTGTTGAGAATGGTGAACATGCCATGAGCATCATGTCTGTCGGCTGCCTGCTGAACCTGCTGACATAGATCGTGAAAACGTCTGGCTCTAGCCTGTCTGGCCTCTTTCTGATGGGCACGCTGAGCAGAACTGAATCGTCCCCAATGGTACCAAGTCCGAAAAATGGCCTGCAGTGTCGGTTGGGGATTCGTGGCAACTGTCTGTTGTAGCACACGCTTATGATGCCATTTGGTCTGGACCATGTTATGAAAATCATCATAATTGACCTGCGGGATCGGAGATTTGTTTCCTGGAAAAAGGTCTTGAAAAATGGGAATTACTCGCTGATGCAGGGTCGTGATGACCTGCTCAGGTTCTTGCATTGGGTCCATGGGCGCCTCAGTGACTTGGTCAACAGCCGTTGTGAGTGCCTTCCATTGGTCGGAATCCTGAAGTTGGGCCATCCTGCATTGAGCTCTCTGCGCAAATGTGCAAGCCTTGATCATGCGGTGAACCTGATATGCCATGTGAATACGTCTGATCGAACCCACAATGGGTATGTGATGAGTGGTATTAAATGGCAAAAACTCAGCGTGTTTGAGATATACTGGTGCTTTGGCTTGTCCGTCACATGCATGTAATCTCATGAGCATGAAATCAATCCTAGAGGCAGCCTGTCCATGATGGTATGTCGGTCCTGTGGTCTCCATCCAGGTATTGAGTGCTGTCAGAGAATGCATTTTCAGGAAATCCAAAAAGTGATGCATGTCGTCATGCTGTGATCCACATGTTCTGGACCCGTTCCAGTGAAAATGGCTGGTGCCCGTCCAAGGAGCAAGGCCCGGCAGGGCTGTGTTGAATCGCCGCTGCATATGAACTGATTTCGCTGTGGAAGCTGTCCTACGTAGTCATTCAGTTTGGCCCACAAGTTGGCCCTCAGTTTGCGGGATTGGGTGGTCTTGTGGTCCACATGCTGATAGACCGCCAGGATGTCGATGGCCCTCTTTGTCTGATGCAAACGTGCGTGCAAAAGTCTGCCATCTTCCAATGCGTGAAATCCAATGGAGTCCGTTGGCCCCAGACTTCTGGCGATCATGATCAGCACCCCTCCGGAGCGGGGTTCTTTGGTTGCAGAGTGCACATATGACCATTGTGCGTCTGACCAGCAGGAATTGAAGCTCCACTTCGTCTCCGATAGCACCACAATGTCGATTGGTTGCTGGCTCAGCCAGTGCTTCAGTTCCAAAAAGGAACTCTGGGAGAGGCCTCCAGGGTTCCATTGCATCACCCTGAGTCGCTGTGATTGGTCCTTGTGGGAGCACCAATTGTGTGATGTCGGTGCCGCTGATTGTACAGATTCACATTTGTTGATCAAAGTCTGAGGAAATTGTTCCACTGTGTATGCTTGTCCTCGAAACCATGCCATGCCATGTTGTAGTGCACGCTTGCATGCTCGTTGGAAGCTTCTCTTCTGGATCTTGGTGCAGCGCGTGTTGGAGACCTGCATTGGTGGGCCGGAGCCCATTGTCGGCGGTTGTCCACAATTTGCTGTCTGTGTCAAAATTGGCAACCAATTGATTGCTTCACCTGCCTCTGTGGTTTGGCAGGAACCCTCACCCTTACGTCCTGTGATGTGTATTCCGGGCAGCTCTGTCAGAAGTCTCTGACGCACAGTGAACTGGGAGTGCTTCGGCATGTCTGCAAAAACACAGGACGTACCCGGATTTGGGACCGGGTTGCAGTG